CCGAGAATCATTTTGACCACCTTCCACGGAGGTGTGATCAACGCTATCGTGATTGATGACACGAAGAGGCACACAATTGCGACCCAGATATCCAACGAAAACCCTTCATAAACCGTTTGTCAACTGGCCTTTCGCCTTTGGTGATGCCTCTTACCTGTTCTTTCACGAATTCGCTAAAATTATAAACAGCAGAACAAAGTCCTATTAGTTTTATATGGACAACTGTCAAATCATAGATACTCACTCCTCTGTTTACATTTAGCTGTTCTTCGAGCGCTCCTGTGTCCGACCCATCGGTTCCGAGTGATATAGCCTGGCGCTTTGTGATTTTTTGTACTAATATCGTCAGGAGAGGTAAAATGAAAAGTAGCCCCACGGCTTGTAACATATTCGGCATATTCGGCAGGAATCGCGACTAGATAAAGTATTAGAGTTTCTAGGGTAAATCCTCGCGCCAAAGGACATACGCGGTCGTAGGGTGCTTCGTCAGGATGATCATTTGGTAAGACGATTGGGTCGAGGAAACCAGTAGCGAACACTCCGAGGAAATAAGACGTCTTCAACAGTTTGGTATGATCGGTGAGATAGCCTTGAATAAACGCAGGAATGAAGCCTAGAGCATGTGTGAACAAATGGCTTCAATGGTCCAGGAAACATGTTACCACTTGCGCCACTCGATGGAGTTTGTGTGCTTTCTGGACTCTCATCTTCGCCATGACGCCTTTCGTCAGCATTATGACTCGATTCTGCCGAGATAATGTCTCTCGCTCCCTCCGTCCTATCTAGAGGCGGACTGGAAACGGCGTGTTGTGCGACTATCCGACCCTGGTTATCTTCAGAAGGATAATAAGCGATATATGGACTCCAGGTATAAAAGCCCAAAGCTCCAGAGCAAACGACCAGTATTGGTAATAGCGCCTGGAACCCTACATTCTTCATGATCCAACGGACAAAGACGTAGCTGACTGCGGAGCTGGCTTTGTATGCGCCCAGGACAATTGCTAATTGGGCCATCCTTTGGATCACCCGTGAGATTACTTTGAAATCGGAACACACGTTATGTACGTACCATGAATGGTTGCTGCTTGTTACGTCGACTACCATCATCTTGCAAACGAGGATAATGACATAGGTGCTGAAGAAGGACGCGACGATGAGGGCTAGACAAAGTATGTCTTCTGCGAGCCAAAAGCGCACCCAGAAGAGAGAAATAAAACAGAACATGGTCAAGAGTTTGGCTCGGACGAGATCGCGAAGAAGTTGGACTCGATTTTTCGCTTTGGATAGGCGAGGAACAATAATGGCTCCAATGAGACCTGAGCAAGTGATACGAGGTGAGTAGGTCTCGAAGGGAAAGTAATATCGACCCACCTGTAACTGGCCAGCCATACTGGATGATGACGGCTAACGTGATTCCTCCGCCCGCTTCAGAACATTTCCAGGTGTTCCTCTTTACGGACCAGGGGATGCACAATGTCCACCAATCACTCGAGAGGATTACTATTTCGGCCTGGGATATTTCGATAAAATTGCAGAGGAAAACGATTGGGAAAAGGCGCAAGCCTAGTGGTATTTCGGGAAGGCCATGGAGTTTCGCAACTATTTTTTGCCTTAGTGTCTGAGAAGGATGTTCCTGAACCGTCTCGTGGGTGGGTTCATCGGTCGGAGGCGAAGACATGGGTTAACAGGCGAACTAGATGTTTCAACACGGACGTGGAGGAAACCAAGTAGCTGTCCATGCGCAGCCGCCGGCTATGTATACAACGTTCTGGGGGGGGATTTCGCGTGTTTGGTGCCCTTTGATGCGAGGCTATTCACAATATCTTCTCCATTGATCGAACTGTGACAGTCTCATTTCTGCGGAGGGCGTGTCGTGACCAAGTCACTAATGAGAATGGACAATTCTCGAATCATCCACCCATTCTCTTTTGGTGCATTAGCTTTTTGAAGTTGTCAGATAAATATATCTCGTACAGCTATAAGTCCCTATCTAATGTCTACGTGGCGTGGCCATCTTCCAATGTTTGCGCCGGCGATAAGCCAGATATTGGCGGCGACTGTCGACCCTTCCAGGATTTAGACCGGAGAGTTCAGATCCCGTATCTTGTTAATAGATAACGTGTCGGCGGGGTCGACCGCCGTTGACAAGTCGAAATTGCGCGTTGACTTGATTTTCAAACTGCCTTGATCGTAAAGGTAGCATAGTTTGGCCACATTTCTTGCTGAGATGTGATTGTGGGTACGCCGGTGGATAAATGGGACGAGTGCTCGAGATGACAAGTGGTGGTGGTGGAATGGAGAGTTGTTTGTGGCGCCAAGTACGTATCGACCACTATCACTAGTCCCGCCAATGTTGCAAACAATGTTTTCCTAGAAGTGAAGATTAAGCCATCGTCTCTAAAATGCTGGCTCGTTCAGCCGTCGTACGGTCCGGGCCAACGTGCAATGGTTGTGATGTCCAATCGCAAGTTCATGCTTGGATGCCTCTCATCTCAATAATTCAGACGAATACTAGCTGGATAGATTAAAATGGTATATCCATATAGTTACGTATAGAATTTTGTCTATATACTAATAGGCCAAGGATCTGAATCTAATTCGAGCTCTCCATTCCTCCATCGGCCTTGCTACCATTGGTCCCCCAGATGACCCTATTGATACCGGTAGTACCAGGTCTACCTCACTCATCACTACTAACGGAAAGAGCATACCTAGTGTTTGCTTTCTCGCAAAGGCGAGGAAACCATGTCTTCCCAATGCGCCACTGCTCATGTGCCACATCACTCATGCACCTAGGAGGAAATCGAATGCACTAGAAGCATGTCCCGGTACTCTATCATTGCCCCAAAGCATCCGACAAAATTACGAAAGTTCTTTATGGTGTTCTTGCTCCAAGTACCTCGGTAAGGTCAGTTGGGCCGAATCTATATCTTGCCTCCACTGAAAATTGCAATCCTGGAACCGCGAGTTCATGTTGGGAAACCGTAGCTGGGGCCATCGCGCTGAAAATTGCGATTTTTATAGGCTCGATCAGTCTGGCGACCGAAAAGTTCCTCGAACACTTACTCGTTTTGCAAATATATGCATCAGTGCCCGAGTGACGATCAGCGCCAAGACCCCGAGCGAGATACCAAGTAATAGCGGTTTCCAAGAACGGTCGAAAGAAGTCGTCCACAAACAACACGAGACCTTATGCTCCCCACATGAGTTCGGAGCCGTCTTTCTGCAGCCAGGACTATCCATCAGCGGGTACAATTTTTTGAGGTTGGCTAATTTGATTAGTTGCAGGAATACTGGCAGCGGCTGTGATCGTCGTCAAGGTTATCGAAATCTGAACGACGTTTGTTAGGCTATTTTTCAAGGACGACTTGGAGATCGATTCATTCCGGTGACCTGACAGGAAGACGGGCCGAGCGCAGTTTTGTGCAGAGTAATCCCCTCGGCGTAGGCTAGGGAACACCGATCCTAGACGCGGACCTATCCTACCCATTGCCTACACCGTGATTTCCAAAAAAAACTCATGTCCAGCAGTTCAAAGTCAGCAGCTGGTAGGATTTCACCTTCAAATATACAAGTATAAATACAACAACTGATGCTTTCGAACGCAAAGGAATGGCTCCAGCTGCTGCGGCGTTGGCCGAGGTCGAAAAATTGATTAATGACGAGGCACAAGCATGTCCGTTTTTCTGTCGAATCCCTTATTCGATGAGGATGCTAATAGTAAATTTGTACAGTAAATCCTGATCAAAAGAAACGAAAAAACCGAGTCCGACATATCCTAAACAACGTCAACAAGGCGATGGGTGTACTGGAACGAGTGGCCGATGTGCACCCTGCTACTCAAGTGAGCGATACCTAGCAATTTTTTCACATAGACTGACGATGTCGCTCAGGTCGTGTTTATCGTGTTCAAGGTGCATACCGATTTGCGCAAAGATTAGCGAACGGTTCCGGTAACTGACTCGGATCCGCAGGGCCTTCTCAAACTGGAGATGGACCGTCGAGAAAATAGTGAGCACATTGTGGTACTATATCACCCAATGGCTCGAATGCTCGCTGTGCTGTCGCATTTAGAGCAAATGGTCCTCGACGGTGACGACCCTGTCACACAACAGCTCGCGGACGTTCTCGGCCAAGTGACACAGACTATGGAAGAGTTCGGTATGCGTCTAACACTAGGTTCTGCTCTTCACTGATTCCCCTCTTAGGTGACCTCTCCGAGTAGGCTCGCACATCTCTTGACCGGTTTCGATGCTGACCTTCCTGTAGTCTTTACTACAACAAGTGTAAACAGCCCATCGGTAAGTACATTCATACCCTTGTAGCATCATTCTCAAATATTGGCGCCCTACAGTCCGCTTCATTAAAGCCGGTGACTTTAAGAAAAAGATTGAGGACTTTCACGACCGCTTTGCCAAGCACCGCAAAGAGATTCAAGAGATCCTTGTTATTAAAAATGAGTTGAGAGGGAAGATGATGACCGATGAAATTGAGCAGTTGCGCATCAATACCGAAAAGATTATCGCGCGACTCGGGGAACCTTCCTCAGACCAAGAGATCAAGGCATTGGAAATTATCCGCCAATATGGGAAGGACTACGTTCTTCACGTCTGTTCTCCATCTCTTTCTGTTTCTCTCCCAATTGACGTTTAGTGTAGGACAAAGTCAAGCTAGAAGAAGTCTCAGCCCTGGTCGGAGGTGGGAAGGTGTCTGGACACACACAGGCCCTTCTCGACACGAGCATCGACTCACTGCTCGCCAGTAATATGTCAGTCCATCTCATCTCTCTCTGCCCAGACCTTGACTTTTTTGCTACAGGGACCAGTTCCATCGAAAACTAGAGAGCAGCATGAGTCAAATCACCGATTCTATCAACAAGTCTCGAGATGCCATCCTGAAAAAGGCAAGTCTCCTATTACTCCAGTTGTCTTTATTTGCTTAACCTGCT